TCGCCGGCCTCGAGCAAAAAAAATAAAATCCCCACAAAAACCAAAACCTCAAAATTGGTTAAGTACATATCAGGTTTTCACTATACAGAGATCCGAAGTGCACGCTTCGGCCCCAACCATAGCTTCACAAAAGAAAATCGCTTCGGCTTCGGTTATACAAAACCACGGTCCATTACTTGGACGATGGGGCGCATCGTCTCCACGTAGCAAAACCCAAGTGAACGAACCAAGGTAAAACAGCTCCATCAAGACAAGCTTGACACTTAGAACATTTTCTAAGTCACACTACAAGAGAGACGATGCGTTACCATTCTATATCTGGGTACCGCTTCGTCTTCAACACTTCAAGACTAAGCCCCAAAACTTGAGGCGTGGACAAGATTTGCCAAGAAAAGAATAAAATTTCACTAAGGGACGAGGAGGCGCATCGTCCCCAAGGACAGTAAAGGCGAGAAAATCGCTACGTCTCAATCAAGGGACGCCAACGACCTCGAGACACAGCCTTGACACTTAGAAAATTTTACAAGAGCAAACATACTTAACTACAAAGACGACAAGGGAATCATGGTGACAAAAAGATTTATCATTAATGGATGAAAAGATACAAGAGGTGGGCGCTTCGGCCATTACATGCACTTCAGTGCTATGGCTACAAAAACTAATACAAGAAAATACTAAGCTACAACATTAGCTGGCACCCCACCATCAACAGCACCGTCGCCGTGGCCGTCATCGGCATCATCATCACCACCACCCTCATCGGCTTGGGAATCGGCAGCCCCTGCGAGCAAATAGTCGTCACTATCACTCCACGGCTCTTCCCCTTCAGACGAGCTTAGGATCGGGGGCTGCCTCTCCAACAGGGGGAGCTTCAAATCCTCGTCAGGATTCTTCATTCGCCGAGGGAGACTCAGACCCCTCGGCCTCATCTTCCGGAAGCGACGGCGAAGCTTCCTATAGATCAGCTTCTACATTCTATACTGGCCGCAGTCATAGAAAGCCTGCATCTCGTTCATCCAAAATTCTTCGCCGACGGGGTCCTTCGTCGTCCAGTCCTTCAACCTCTCAGCGACCACATCATAACAGAAGGGGAGCTGGTCATCGGCTTTCCACCCCTCGGCCTTGAAATCAGCCACGGCCTTCTCGGCGGCCTTCTCGGCGTCAGCTTTGAGCCGCTCAGCCTCCTCGGCTCTCTGGACGGCAGCAGCAATGGACTCATCGGCCTTCTTTCGGGCGGCCTCGGCCTCGTCAAGCCGGATCTGAAGAAGCTTCATCTCGTCTTCCGCGGCCTTGACTTTGTCCCTCAAATCTTGGAGGGCCTCATCGGCTGAGAGAGCCTTAGCCTCCACTTTCTTAAGCCGTTCAATCTCGGCCTCCTGCCTCCAATGCTGCTCCATCAGCATCAGCGCACCCTGGACGAAGCAAAGTAAGGTCAGAGATAAAAATGAAAACCAAGTAAAAGTCACAATGGGAAAGAATCTTACCTGGACGACATAGTCCAAACCCCCATCGTACAGGTGGACGTGCTTGCCCTGCCGGCTGAGGTATTGCCGGTCATACTCAGGCATAGCCTGAGCGAGCACGTCGTCGCCACTGACAGTCTCGTTAAAGAGCCCGCCTTTCACCGGGTAACGCACCGTCACCTCATACGTCCGGGCAGCAGCGGCAGTAGAGGGAGGCACTCGAGAAGCCGAAGCCACCAAAGCCGAGGAGGGTGGATCACGCGGGGGAGGGACCATGGCCGGCTGGGCATCTACAGCGGCCTGAGAAGAGGGAGCACCGGCCTCGTCATTTGAGGGAACCCTCTTCGTCTTCTTTGAAGCCTGGCTCGGCTTCAGTCCCGCCTCGGCCAAGGTTTTCTGGCCCTCATCGGCCCCTCTCTTCTTCTTGGGAGCAGGTTTCTTGACGGCCTCACCCCCTCCTTGTGAACCGCCAGCAGATGTTTTTGCCCTATCGGCAGCCTGAGCGGCCTTCAGCTCCGCATCGGCCTTCTTGGCGGCCCTGGCCATAAAAGACATACGGTCCATGGCAAAACCTGCACAGAACAAAGCAACATCAGTAAGGCAATAACTAAAGATACTACGAGAAAGGTAAGAAGACGAAGGACAACCTTCGGCTTCAGCAGGAACACCAAGACGAGGGCCGTCGGCTTGCTCATAAGACCCCACCATCTTCGGCCAAAGATCATCATCAACGTCACCAGGACAATAGTACGTCACGAAGCCGAGGGCGGCCATCTTGTACTCGGTAACATACGTTGCTATACTCCTCGGACCGCCCTTAAGGAAAGCCTCCACCTGCCTACTGATCTCGGCATTCCACGGAGGATTATGCAACTCAAACAAGCCGCTGTGACCCGCAGACGGGAAGTAACCGCCTCGGCCTAGGTTAACAAAGACAAACTTTGCCTTCCAACCATGGATTGATGAAGGAAGGTCCGTAAACGTCCTCCTCTTGGGGACCTGCTGTAAGGCGGCATAACCGGCGCAATTCTGATGGCTCCCTCGGCCTATCCGGTACAGATTGGTGAAAAGCGCAGTCGTCGGCGAGAACCCCAACTCACCGCAACGGATAAGAAAGCCGACGATAAGCGAGTAGCTATTGGGCGTCAGCAAGGCCGGAGGAAGATTCACCATGTCAAGGTATTCCTTAATAAAAGGATGAAGAGGGAACCGCAAACCCTTCGCAAAACTCATTGGATATATCCCGAAGTAATCCAAAGGGGGACTCAATACATGATCCGTCGGCTTCGGCGCCCGCACCCGTCCATACGGCCCCACATACAGCTGAGCAACGTGGTACTCGCCGAGGGTCCCCTCCGGCCGAATGATGTACAAATTGCTGAGATCTAACTGAGAAAACCCCTGCGGTACTCCCTTACGCTGCTTCCGCCGGTACGGTTTTTTCGTCTTAGGAGCCGAGGGGCCTTCCCCCGCTACTGACGATATCGGCGGAGGACAAGGAATGTGGGCGGAAGAGGATGCCTCATCCCCCCTCAGAGGCGAGCTAGATGTCGCTTCGTCCTCACCAGAACTATGTGCTCCCGCGTCGGCACTCATTCTCTCCTCATCTACAGAGGTGCGGTAGTCGGCGGTATTCTCCATCTCGATCTCGAAGGCTTCAATCAGTCGAAGATCAACTCCAGAGGACGTATCGTCCTCGTCAAAGGGCCAGTCCTCTTCGTCCAACGAGGCTGTTAAGTCAATAGGGGAGGGAGCACTACGGCCGTTAGAGAACGGCATAACACTTACACCTATTCCTAAGGGCGGTTTTTCGGATCAAAGTGGTTTCCCTACAAACACTAGATCTAACCCCCTAGGAAGCAAAGTATAAGAAAACAAAGAAGAACAGGCAAGAATCTGACCTTAAAGTTTTGAAGATCCAAAGGAAGGTTGATGAACACTTGAAGGAACCTCGGGAGCTTTCTCTCTCTAGAAACTTGGGCAGCAATTTGACAAACAGCAAAAGCACAAATGAGGTATCGCCTCGGAGTTGAGGGGTATTTATAGGCACCCCTCCAACGGTCACTACACGTGGCAATCTCCAATTGGCCACCCCAGCGGCACCTCTTCTAGAACCAATCAGCGCCTGTCTCTTCACATTCCACTCTAGGGCCACCGCTACGGCCCAACAGGCCCCGAGACTAGGGTAGGCACCGGCCTACTCACTCAAAAACAAGGAGAAAACCCGCTACGGCCAAATTTTACCAAAGACATGGCCGCATCAGCGAAACACGCTACGGCCCCAAAGCAACCCCAAGAAACACAAGTACCGCTACGGCTATTCACGCGCACATCGTTTGATGATGACCCTGGTATCGCGGCCTTCGTCCAAGGGTTCTCCCACAGGGTTACCTTGGACAGGTTCGCCTAAGGGTTGGACTCACGACTAGCGTAAAGGCATCGTATCGGCTTGGGTACACCACGACTCCCTTGTGCCTCAAGTACTCTTCGGCCAAAGGAGTGGGGGACTGGGGGGACTGTATCGGCTACAGAAAAAGGAGAACAGCATAAATGGGAACGCGACGGCCTCAACACACGGAGGAACAAGTACTCCCTTTCGCTTCGGATTCGCCTCAGCTCAGAGAGTGGGAGACTCCTGATAGAGTATATGGGCCTGGGCCCCATGGCCCGCATACTCAAGTCAACGGTGACCAGAAGAACACCCACGTGGCCCCCTTCGGCCAGTGGGTCCGCATCGGCCAGAAACCAAACCGGCCCAGGAAGCTCGCATGGACTCCCGGGACCGCATCGGCCCATGGACCGCATCGGCCATGGGACCGCATCGGCCAAAAGGCACCGCATCGGCTCGGCTTCGTACGGGCAGAATGCTTCTCTATTTTATTTACTAAGTGTTGTACACAGCCCATTAGTGGGCCTATTTCGCCCAAAGAAGGCATGATTATTGTAATGGGCCTCCTAAGCCCAAGGCTAGGAGCCCAAACCCACATTTTTTCCTATAAATAGACCCCATGGGGCTAATTATAGGGGGTTCTAAGTTGAGAAATATAATTACTCACTTTCTCTCTCTAGCTCTCACTTCTCTCTAGAATTAATACTCTATCAACTGTAATTATAATTATAATTATATATTTTTTATAATTATGATTATAATTATAATTTTATTTTAATTATATTTGTAATTGTAATTATAATAGGATGTTTTTACTTGGACTGTAATTTGTCTCAGACCAGACCAGACTAGGCTTAGATAGTTATAAAAATACAAAGATGCCAGACCAGACCAGATTAGACTAGACCATCAAATTACAGTTAAAGTAAAACATCCTAAATATAATTATAATTATAAAAAATATTCAAATCAGATCAGATCAGAAATATTCAGTTCATATCAGAAGGATTCAGCAGATCAGAAAAATTCATATTAGATTAGATCAGATCAGAAAGATTCAAATTAGAATCAGATAAAAAAGATTCGAATTTAAAAAGTTAAGAATAAAATGGCACCAAATATGTAACTCACTAACCCTAAATCGTAAAATAATTTTTTGGAAGCAAATGCAGCTCACGGACATGCTGCCCGCATCCGTCCGACTCCACCAATCCTCGGCAGCTATAAAGGCCTCTTAGAGGCACTTATCATCTGCCGGTTTCTTCCCCCCAATCACAACTCCGGCGCTCTTACTTCGACTGTGCTGCACTTCACCGAACTACACCCTACTCTTGTCCGTGTCTCCCCACATGCGATTTCTCTGTAAGTTTGCCGTCTCCTTTCTTCATTGTTATTCTTATTTATTTCTGTATGTTTCTAAAAGAAACGACAGAGAAATAAGCATATAATTCAGAACAGATAACGGATTAGAACAATAAATCAGCTTCATAATGATCTGTTGAATTTGTGTTGCTTTCACTTTCCAGGGAAATTACTAATTAGTAGAATGGTATTCTCAAAATGACCTCTCCAATTCTTGGAACAATGATAACCTTGATTAATTGTATGCTAACATATTATTTTCACTCTTATGAACCTTATTCATCGGAAGGGTGGGTGAGGAGACATTAAGTCTGGTAAGTTTCTCTTCTAAAATTCACTAATACATTTAAGGTTTATTTGGATGGGGTCTTTAGAGGTGTAAGAAGCAGGAGTGCTAGGAAGTATAGGCACCTTAAGGTAGGTAAGTCAAGTGTATGGGTAAAACATAAACTTTATATAGTTAAAGAAGTAATGATAGTAATGGGAATATTTTCAACGAATGTTGATCAGTTTCAATTCTTCACACATTATGTATCACAATTCACATTTGATACACTAGCAGCAATTTTGGATATTGTTATACTACGTACAAGTATAATTTCTGAGAAGAAATTAACAACACTTTCAAGATATTTGTGTATTAGAATATGCAGACAACAAAGTATCCAAAAATAACCTGGAATTTATTGAAGAATAATTTGTAGAAGAAGATAAAGAAAGGCAGAATGAGTTGTCCAACTCCCCAAAACACCCCAAATCGGAGCCTTAAAGATTTGAAGAGTTGAGGTGTTGGGAGGGTTATCCTTAATACCTCTAAGCACTTACTAATGCTCCTAATTCTTTGTTATCTTCTCCCAAACAAATGTTAACACCGAGACTTCTTAAGGTTGGATGGTTGTATTTTCATAGTTAGGATCTATCAGCTCATGCATTGAAAATTCTTTGACAATCTGCTGTCTTCAATGGGTCAGATGTGGATGGAGAAATTCAAAATTGTGTTAAGTGTACTGGATATGGATATTTACTAAGTCTGATAATCCAATGAAATCCGCACCAAATCATCCTTTTCACTAGCTACTTCCCTTACCCTTTGATTGGGATGATTTGGGAATGAAAGAAGGTAGTGAGACAGAAGTTAGAGAGGAAATGAAGTTTTTTGTTATTTGTGTAGTAAGAGAATTTCAAGAAAAGCTCATGAGGTAGCTTAGTGGGTTCGATTTTCCAAGGGTGAAATTTGGAGCAAGTGATCAGGAATAGAGTACTTGTTACCCCTAAAAAATGACAGATTCCTTGTGCGTGATGTGGGGCATGTCTAGCCTCTAGCCAATGTGGATCAACTAAGTTTATAAGTTATCATGATTGCATTCTTCTACCAACTTTGTGGGATTGGGAGTTCTGGGCATACTTGTCACGGCGGTAAGTCCGTAAGTCGAGTCGTGGTGCTAGGCTGCTAGCCTTGGTGACAATTAGGCGACCAGTCGTCTATATGTGGGATCCACACACAGAATCTCTCCCCGCAAAGTATGGTGGTACCATGAATTACAGTTTTCACTGTAATATTCTTTCCCTTCCTGCATAAAGCAAGGTCAAATATGCCTTTATGAGAAATTCATCTACTTTAATCCAACTAAAGCATTATTCGTCAAGTTTCTAGGCGTGTGCATTTCCCCTCAAGGTACACTGAAATGTGTTAAATACTACTTCCCTTCTCCCACTAAGATTGTCCCATCTTTTCTTTTTCAATCCATCCCACTAAGACTCACTCGTACCAAATTTGACAATCTTTGTGTGGTTCTAAATCGTTCTCACTTTATTCTTATTTATTAATTCAATATCAATCACATAAAACTCACCTTTGTTAATAACCACACCACCTCCTCATGTACCAAAGTTAAGGGCCGGGGTAGTATTTTTTGTTACTTGACAGTTAGTTAGTTCATTACATGAAAATCAGCATTAGCCTTTTGGATCACATGTTCATATTCTTCTGAAAATCAGCATTACCCTTTCCTAGTAATACAAAAAAACTACTCCGTAATAAATTTCTGTGTTTCCTATTTCAGGTTTGAGTGCATATTATCTGGCTGAGTAGTAGTTTTTCATTGAACTGTGTTACTGGATTTTTTTAATTCAGTTCAGGCGTTCTCTACTACTTAAATCGTAATTAACTCAAATCAGAAGGGTAACTCAACATGTCGGCAGATCCTCAGGCTACTTATGTAGATGAAGATGGCTCTTCTGGCTCTGCTGATGATATGACAATGTTAGATGGACAAGGTAAGCACCGATCTGGAGTGCTAAACTCAGGCCGTCGCAAGAGGAGCCGCAAGGCAACGGGTGATGCTATAGTGGACGCCATGTTGGAGATTGCAGCTGCTTCCAAGGCGAGGGCAGCTGCAACTATGAGAAACGAGGAGCGTTTCTCCATAAGCAAATGCATAAAACTACTCGATGAGATGCAAGGTGTTGATCAAAGCATCTACTTCTATGCGCTGGATTTATTTGAGAATCCAGACGCAAGAGAAATATTTGTGTCTCTGAAGAATGAGAGGCGATTGATGTGGCTGAGTGGGAAGTTTGCAGCGTCTTCGAATTCGGCTTAGCTTGTAATGTTATAGATTTCAGTTCTAATTAACTTCAGGTAGTCTGAGTTTTTGATAAATTGATTTGCTGTCCATCAACTACATTTGGAGAATAGACCGTGGAGTTGCGTTATAACTTGCAGCGGGTTTTTAGAGTTACTCCCTACGTCCCATAGAGAGGTTCCCGTTACGGTTTACGATGCTTGACTGACGATAAAGCAACTTAATCCCTGTTCACTCTCTGATTGTATTTAGTATTTAAAATTTACATATACAGAAACTACATTAAAACCGCTACAAAGCATGATAAAAAATTGTAGATTTGATAAAAAAAATTATATATAAAGCAAAAGATTAAGAATGATTTAAATTGACCATGTGAACAGTGGACGAGAACCTTCTAATGGGACGGAGATGGTACTATTTTTGATACATCGGAAATTAACGGAGATAGTACTATATTAGTAGCATCTTGTTGCTGTTTTTCTTACATTCTGTAGGACAAGAAATTCTCCTGTTACTGTTAGACATAACATTAAATTGTACCAAATTGATAATAATACATTATAGTATTATACTCCCTCTGTATTTATATAGTGGCAAGATGTTCCTTTTTCATACCAAATTGAATATGCTACATTTTCAATTAAGCTATAGGTAAACATGCCGTCATAAATTTTATTTTCATGTTTTTTCATTTAAAAACATTTAAATAGCACTATTTTCACTAATTTTTCATATTATTTTCGCACCTGTTCATTGTTCTTTCCAAAATTCCAACTTTGTACACTATTTACTGCTACTATTTCACTTGAACTCCATGAAAAGTATGATATTGCAATTATATAACTATGGAGGGGTATACAATAACATACCTGAACTTTGAAATTAATTCTTCTTTTGCTCCATTTTTAAAAACTGAAGTAAAATTAGTTTTTAGGAGTAATTTAGAGCAAATAGAATTACTTCTGCACTTTCACTTACACTCTAATACTTCGTATTTACCTCTACTCTTTAAATGAACAGAAACAGTTTTAAGAAGTTTTGAAATATGTACAAAGTTTTCATGAAATATCTAAACATTCCCTAAAAACAATTGTTCAAAATATGGGCAATATACGTACAAAGTTTTGAAATAGGACTAAATAATTCCAAAATAAGACTTATTTAATCTTATAGTGACGTATTTGACAGTTTTTCTATATTCAACATTTGTTTAGAAAAATTTAATTTATATGCTCAATAAGGCAATAAGCAGTCCGAGTAAAATAATTAATTTAAATTTATATTAAGTTCCGTTGTCAATTGAGTAGGCCTATTTTCTAATACACATTTGTCCATACTAGTTTTCTATAAAACAAATGGAAAGAAAAACTTAGATTGTAGTTAATGGAGAATAAGATACGCTGTTGAACTCTCTCAAAAAAAAAAAAGATACGCTGTTGAACAAAAATATTCAGTTTTAAGTGAATGAATATGCTACATTTTCAACTAAGCTATAGGTAAACATGCCGTAATAAATTTTATGTATCTATATTTGTTATACTCCCTCCGTAACTTTAAAATCTTCCCATTTCAAAAGTAGGTAGATTAAGAATAGTGAAAGATGATATGAATTATTGAGGGTATGATGGGAAAATAGTGGAATAATGTGATGGAATGTAGGATAAATCCAAAAAAAGTAGTTGTAATAGTGTATTATTTTAAGAATTATTGAGGGTATGATGGGAAGATTTAGAAATGGGAAGATTTTTGTGTTACGGACGAAAAAGGAAAGTGGGAAGATTTTTAAGTTACGGAGGGAGTAATAATAATAAAAGGTGACGACAATGATTTTTCTTAATGGTTAGTGACGTCTAGGATGTATTCTTCCTTAGGTTATTTCGCAATTGATTTTCTCGCAATTTTGATAGGTGTAATTTTTGTTGGTTCCATTATAATTCATGGGTATAATTTCATTCATTCTTTCTTTTTATCTCATTTCTCTGTACAAGACATCTGATTGCTTCTTAGTTCTCTCTATTGGTGTTGTCAAGTTTTTCCTCTTGCCTTATTGAGCATATAAAGTAAAGGGAAAATGGAAACTAATAATCCAACCTTTCAGCGATCTTCTTATAATAGTCCCACATTTTCGTTATTCAAGAATAATCCAACCTTTGCACCTCATCTTCATTCGCTGGTCCCTGATCGATTAATGACCTGCTATTTCAAGTTATTCTTTGTAAAATATTATCTTTGTAAAAGGAGAGATTTATGGTATAATGATTTGCAAAGATAATAAAATAACTTGGAATAGGAGGTCATCAACCGATCAGGGACCAGTGAATGAAGATGGGGTGCAAAGGTTGGATTATTCATGAATAACGAAAAGGTGGGACTATTGTAAGGAGACCGCTAAAATGTTGGATTATTAGTTTCCATTTTCCCTAAAGTAAATTGTTCTGACAATTACAATTCTGATAAGTACACTGATTAAAGTTAGATGTGTGGTTTTTTCAATGTCTATGCCAAGTTTTTTGCAGAAATCAAATGCTAATAAAGCTCCATCTTGTCTCCCACCAGAGGCGGCGGAGGCAGGGGGTCAGGGTGGTCAGCCGACCCCGCTGAAAGTTCATGAATGTAGAGCTCTGAAATACTTTCGATTTGATATATTATGGGTCATGTAACTCATTACGAGTAAAAAGTTATGACTTTTGGAAAAATCAGCATCATCTTAACTTGAAATAAGCAAAATTTGAAGTGTAACGTTGATTATATTCTTAAATTTTAAAATGAAACACCTTATTATGATACATTAACCGAAAAATGCTCATTGAACTATCATTTATCTTAGCTACATATGAAACATTTATAAACTCAAGTATTGTATAATAACTATCCATCATTTCGATATTGTATATAATTAAATTCTGACTCTCCTCGCACATTTTTCTTGTTTCGCCTCTGTCTTCCACAGTTACTATTTGACACAATAATACTCGAGATGCTTTGAGAATCCAATCCAAAGCATTTCCTCAGCATATCAGTTATCAAGTGATCAGTGTCTATCAGGTTATACTTAGCTTGTTCAACAAATACATGACAATTTTTTCTTCAAACTTGAATCTGACATCCATCATAGTGGAATTAGATTCATATGGATGCACCTCCTGATTGCAAAGATATGATGAAAAATGACGGTTAACTTGCTTAAGAAGAAGCACATCGCTCACGCCTGAAATATTCGATGGTTCAAGAAAGTTATTTTTCATGTACTCAACAATTTTCATCATGTTCCTTGTTTCCCTTGCTTTGCTGCACTTCTCAATCAAAATATTGCATGTAGCCTTGTCTGGTTGTACCCCTGTGTCTTGCATTTTATTGAAGATTACCAAACATCTCCACAACATTACCAAACTTTCCGGCCTATGACAGCTAAATGCTCCACAAGGGTTGTGTTTGTGTGGTAATTGAGAGAACAACCGGATTGAAGCATCTCTTTGTACACCTCAGCACCCTCCCTGACACGCTTGTGGTCACACAAAATTATCATGTAAACTGTATAGGAGATGACAGTAGGACAGCAGCCCTTAGCTCTCATCTCCCTCTAAAACTTCATAGCCCCTTCAACATCCTCAATGTTGGAGAGCCAATGGAGAATAGATGTAAAGGTAACCACATCAATCTTGACACAATTTTCTTTCATTTGGCCGAAAACATACATCATTGACGAAACCCTCCCAGCTTCCCAAATATATCCAGCATGGTCGTGTAGGTATACTGGTCATGTTTAAACCCTATATGCTTGGTGACCCAATTGAAAAATAGCCAAGCCTTCTCCATTGGGGGATGAGTCTTGAGAATCTTGTTGACTGTATATGAATCCCATTTTTTAGTGGAAGTTGAGTATCTCAAAATATTTGATATTCTAGGGACAACTGCTCGGGTAGCTCAGTTGATCGAGTGGTGAGAAAGTTGGAACATTGACTAAGAATCGAAACCTACAGGCTACAGCGACCGTGTGGATGTTACAGCTCCTATGTGATGGATTGAACTTCTGGTGCGCATGGGTAGAAGGTCTACTGCCATTAAGTTGACAGAGTCATTGTGATTTAAAACCTCCCAAATGTCTTGCCTGGTTGGAGCGTGGGGGTCATTGGGGTTGGGGATTCAACCTTTTAGAACATTGATATTCGAGGGACACCCTAGTATATCTTCATAATCGTCCGCCCATCATTCCTAGCGGGCGGGTGCCGCGCCCCGCTCCCATTGCTTAGCCTCTTTCCACTTTGAGGTACACCGTTGCAAGAATTTGTTGTTTTAGATAAATGTGTAACAATGTTAGAAGCATTCGGTAGTATGTAAAATAATCACTATGTATGTGAAGTATGGAGACGTAAAAGGATTACATTGTTTGGCTCAATTATTTAATGTAAACTGTGGGACACTTTTTTAAAGCATTTCCCACCATACCATGTAAAGTATTTTACGTGGTGGGAGTGTGGTAAAATATTTTGCATGCTTTTTATAACGCACCGCAGCACCTTTGAGTGTAAATTAAAATAAATTAAACATCTAGCCAAATAATGTAATCTATTTTACATGTAAAGTGATTATTTTCCTAAGTTTGCATGCAATCACTTCGCGTGCAAAGAACATGTAAACTATCAAATGAGCTCTTTATTGAAATCTTTATCAAGATATCCCACTTTGGTCTTTTGATTCTATATATCCTTTCTCATTCCCTCTTGAGATAAATAATTATTAAGCCATGGGCAAAATTTTAAATGAGGACTATATATATTTTCTTTTTAAAACAAGACTTATTCTATCATATTAAAGAAATACTATAATAAAAACTTTTTGAAATAATAGTGAATGATTCATATTTTGATGATAAATCAATTATAAGAATTTTCATATATATTATAAATATTTTTAAAAAAACGTAATTATTATTTTTCTTTATGAAAACATAATTTAAATATCCAAAATTTGAAGGAGCGCAAGATAAGCATCCAAACTTGCACATTCAATATATATATACCTCAACATTTATATATAAAAAAAATTGTTAGCACCATAATCATATACATAGTACGATAGTATTTTTTTCACAAATGTAATTATATGGTGTTAAATGAATAATATAAAATACAAAAAAAATTATGATGATCGAATTAAAAATTAATTGTACCGGATTTAAATTTATTTATTTCACAAATGAAATTTTAGAATGTTAATTGCATCATAACAAAGTTTATAATATTTTAAATTATGTAACGATTCTGATAAATTTATATTTATAAAAAAGAAACAATCATGATGTGGAATGACATTTTAGAAAAAGTTTAGGGTATATATTACATATGCAAGTTTGGAATACTTTGGGAATGTTTGGTAAACGGTGTTTCAGCCCAAAAATGGCAGTTTGACCACTTTTAGTGTTTTAATAAGTGAAAAAGTTGTTTGGTAAATAGCAGTTCGGCACTAACGTTTTTGGACGGAAACGCCAAAATGAAAACGCTACTAATAGGAGAGGTTTTAGTTTTGCGTTTTTAAAAAATGACGTTTTCTACTAATTTTATGGCCAAACAGTTAAATTACAAAAT